CTAGCACTTTGGGGAATAGGACAGCGAGCACAACAGAAAATGCATGTCATCTTGAATTTGTACACATCTGGACAACATTGCGTATGTATGCAATATCGTATGTAAAGGATATACAGATGGCATGATGCAGTACACAGAGGTGTTGCACAAACCTTGGTCACAACATAACGAGTCAACTATAGTAGAAAGGGTATACAGTTTACGATATGTTTGATGGACATGTCTGTCAAGGAGTGAATACACGACTGAATACATGGACAACACAAAATTACACATGATCGTCAGCTGCGCTACACGATCTTCAGTTGTTGCCAATTTAAGGGATTGGTGGTGCACGATCAATCTATTGACTTTTGTGGAATGATGTGATTGAGCAATTACTCGATTGAACACACAAAGAACATGATGGAACACGATTGACATTTGCATCATGCGAGATTCGCTGGTACCAATGACTGTGGCATTCCAAAACTACACTATCGCCAAAAAGTACATGATCACAAACTACACAATTGCCAAAATCGTGTAGTTTTATGGATGAAAATACACGAAATTGTCCACCTGATGTCCATGAACCACCCAATGAATAACATGGTTGCACACGATTTCAAACGTGTACCCAGCGCCAACCGTGTAAAATCGGGTTCCAAAGTACATGACTTTTACATGATGTTTACATGGTTGTACATGATTGTACGCAATTTTACACCATGCAAAATGGCCGAACTTTTACTAGTGGTAGTGCTACACAGATAACACGATAATACACGATTCTCAACTATGATGTATGATGTTTCATCGCTTAGAATTGAATGGAGCTTGGGTGCAAAATTCGCGACACGATTGGCTACACAGTTGATTACCCAAATAACATAAAAGAACACGATTTTCAGCTGCGCAACACGATTTCCAGCTGCGCAACACGATTTCCAGCTCTTGGCACATGACTCCAACAAGGGTACACAACTCCCTACATAGAAAGAACACTGTGCAAAACGATTTTATACGATTGCACACAAGTTTCAGTTGTTGCCAATCGTCCGCACTAAAAGTACAAGATTTTATACGAAATTTACACGCACACCACGGTGTGTCATTTTTGGGACCATGCACTTTGGTCGATTTTTTACTAGTGTACGTATGTGGCTCCATGGAATTGATAGCTTATGAAATTTTCAGCTCCTTCACAAGAGAGCATTCCAGCCACCTCCACAAGAACACGCTCATAAGCAGATGTCGATGAACATCAGCTCCGTCCTATTCAAATGTATAGCACACATCAATTTTACTTTTAGAATGGATATGATATAGAATGGATGTGACACGAGAGATTATAATCGTTTACATAAAGCGCGTTCCTTCCTCCCTTCCTCCCCACCCCACTCCCTATGTGCATCGCTGTTGTCAATCCTTTTTCGCCGCGTCGTGTTGTGCTGTATGCTGACGCATTGGTTGTTGGCATGCATCCTGTTGAGACCATCGTACAGTGCATACTGGACAACATGTTCCAAGAGAAGAATAGAGGGGACATGACGAGAGACAGAAGCATCTGCTTCTCAGATTCTGGCCGTAACCTGGACATGCGCCCCTTTTCGGGATATAATTGTATTGGTGGTTGTCCCTGTCCTCGATATATATTTCCTGTGTTGGACATGTGTGCCCAACTCTACATGATACTTGGTTGCAATGCGAGACGTCATTTCCATGATAATCATTGTGGTTTACACGTATCTCCCAGTTCTTACCTCCAAGGGGGAAGTAGACGTACCTGGAGGTGTTGAGGTGCATGAAAGTACCTCTATAACACCACCACCATGCTCAGGATTCTGGCATGTGGCCCTCTGCATCAACAACATGTAACATTCGACTCGGCACATCACCATCGTTGTGCAAGTGACAAACAACGTGTGGCTACCCCAAAGAGTTTGCTGGGTCCGTTTTCTTGCAGGAGAGGCCCAGCAAGAGGTGAACAAGGTGGAAGGCCAGCCCCGCGTTGCTTCTATTTGCTTGCTCACCCGCCCCGCCACCCCGTTGCAGGCCGAGGGCGTGATAGTGTCGTGCACCATTGGAGCCTGCCCTTTGACGGCGGGCTCCTCCTGATTTAAGTGGGTGTGTGCTAGCATATAGAACCACTATCGATGGATAATGGTCTTCTCTATCGGTTATCAGCCTTGCGATCACTGATGTCTGGTGGTGTTGTGGCTGGCATGTTTTTCGGTTGGTTCGCGGGCGATGCGTCCGCCGAGGCGCCCAATGAGTCCGCGGCTCCCCTTCCACCGGATGGCCGGCAGGCTTTAAGAGGCGCTCATGTCCTTGGATGCATAGTGTGGGCCCAAGCCTGCAGATTGGATGGGCGCGGGGCGGCCGCACGCGCAATGGATGCGTGCGGCGCCTTGCGGCCTGCGGGTGTAGCCGTTGGGTGGCGAGTGGGCACGGATGCAATTACAAGCTGTCGTGCGGGGTTCAGTCACATGACCCACACACGCAGTGGTACACAATATACAGGACAGTGTATCGAATGTACCCGTATCGAAAGTATCTCATCCCCGAGTACGGCAGGGGGCCCAACCTTAAGTGCTACAGCTTTAACTGGCCATAACTCCACTACCGCTAACACGTTTGGGATAATTCAACGACCTATAGAAAGCTAACAGCCTCCTCTATCCAATCCAGGTACAATCTTGCATCCATTATCACTTCCCAGTATATAACTTGAGTAAACCGTCTACCCCTTGGTAGTTTACACAACAGTGGCAAATGTCGGACTAAGTTTGATCACCATAGAGTTGATCTCTCAGCAACGCCCCGCCGTGCTGTGCACCGCCGTGACCACCCTTGAGGGGTGGTGCCCACGGGGTATGCTCATGACTGCCGGAAGCAGGGAGCGAGGCAACTAGAACAAGTTCATTACAATCAGACGGCACATTCGCTAAATACAACCAAATTAAGAGTGAATGTTTGGTGGTCCCATTTTAGCACCATATCAAGCAATGAATACACCCTTAATCCCCAGAACTCTAAGACACTTCCAAGACATCCAGCAGAAGCTAGTAACCCAGACAATGTCTCCATATCCTTAGGAATCAAAGAGAGAATGAAACCTATCCCAATTCCTCCCAAAGGTTCGGTCCCGACAATGACATGTTGTGATCCAAAAAGTACAACAAAAAGACCTTATAGTCAACTAAATCACAACACGCCGTGTGCTATCCCAGCTTGTTTTCTAGGGAATAAACGATCGAACATGGCTCCGCTACGCACTCACTGTGGCGCGCCTTCACATGGTCTTGTGGGTGCCCCAGGCCGGGCGGCTGCGGCTTGGGGCAAGTGGTGTCCATACCTGTCCATGGCTGCGGCGCTGCTCTGCCTCGCGGCCCTGACTAGCGACGCCACCGCCCAGCCCGAGTGCATGTTCACCAGCCAGTGCCAGACCATGTGCGAAGGCGGCACTGACTACAGGAACGACCTGGGTAGCGTGTGCTCTCCGTGAGCCTCAGGGCCTACACACTTATGCCAACGGGATCAAGGTCCACAGCTACTTCGCAGTTGCCGCTTGAGCTTCCCCTGGGACAATCCTTAGTATCTTTTCGTTCCTATAAGCCTTCTTTTGCACCGTTCACAGGGAACCCCGGGCTGATTGTCAGGATAGTGCTGCTTTCTTTCCGAAAATGGCTTGCATCGGGTTTCATGCAGTGATTGATTCGCTGATTGAAGGTCCGCAGCATCATGAAGAAAGACGTGCCAAGCGCCAGCTGTCCTGGCGACAAGCCCCTGCAAGTAATCTTCAGCACCGGCATGTGCAGCTGGATGTACAGCGATTGGTGCAAGTGCCTCCCAAGCCCCTGCAGCACGTATCACGAGTAGTACTCGTGATTGTACTCGTAGTACGGCTACTTCCGGGTGTGCAACTGGTTGACGTTGCGGCCTGGAAGCCAGCTGGTGTACAAGGGGCATCAGCCGCTGCCGAAATAAGTGCTGTGCTCGCGGAAATGACAGCATTGCGCCTCAGGCGTACGTGGCTGGAGATGTGGAGCGTTATCCTCTTCACGCCAAAAGCAACGGCGGCCTCCCAGCGTGAATGTGGCCTGATTCATGTCCTCAAGCTCGTTGGCAGGAGAGTAATGCTGTTCGCTGTCCATCTAGGATTGAAAACTTCTGGATTTGTTGACACAGGCATGATCAGGTGGCTGTGCGGCAGCGGCATCAATAAATCGCTAATTTTGTTCGAATTGACGGCGTTTGAAACAATAATCACTTGATGGCGGGGATGGGCCATAAAAGGCTCTGCCTTGTGGTGGCATTTCTGTTGCATGCGCATCGGGAAAATGCGGTGCACGGTGCTGGGCGTCAGTTCATATGTCGCTCATGTCTTGAGGTCGTCCCACAGACAAGAATGAGGCCTTCAGCAGTGACGAGCAGAACACAAAACTGTGCGGATAAGTTCTTGCCAACGTCATTTCAGAGTTGCACCTCTGTGTGGGTGTGTGGGTCCTAACCCATTGAGCTAAGGATGTATGCGCACACTGTGCATAAGGAAGGCTTGTAAGCGCAAGCTTGCTCCAGAACTAAGTGGCCCACGTTTCCATCATCCCTTTCGCGCAACCTTACTTTGAGTCAACAGCTGGACAACAACGATAGTGGTTCCTGCAACACTGCACTTTTTGCTCACACCTTGATACTCGAGCGCATCCCTGTTTCAGCGACGTTGCTTCAAGTTGCAGCTTCAAGTAAAAAATGTCCGCACGCAATATGAATATAGCATGTGATAGCCATACAATACTGCCTTGCTGTCTCCTATACACAGTCAACAAGAATAGGAGCCTGGTTCCGCCAAAACATGGCTGCCGCCCGATAAATGTGGAAAATGCGAGTCAAGGCACGTGTGCATCTTCCACACAGCCATTGCCAGAGCAGGGAGGACACTGTCTTGATTTGCACTTGAAGGTGAGGACGCACAACATCAGGGCTTAACGAGAAATGTGTGCCAGCATGGCATGGAGTCAAACCAGCATGATGCACACGTTTTGTGCTTCTCCACGCAGCATTGTCCTTCTGAATCCGGCACAGCCTCGTTCGACCCTCTCAGTCTCGGCCCAACCAGAAATCGCAACCACACCCTGCGAGCAGCCAATCATATTGTGGTCGACAGGTTCAGCCCTGTTCCCCGCTGGATGCAAGCCACCATGGCGTTTGTCCACCGTCTGATTACGCACAGCACACTCGAGAAAGGCTCTGTCGCTCCACGCCGTGTTGAAAAGAAACGTGCACCTCCGTTGAGGGCCAGACATCTGAGCATTCGACCGCGATACAAATCTCGAAACAGTCAATTGTTCGTACCAGAAACCCCGCAGCATGTTGGTCACAAACCCATTTTGCTGTTGCGTGCGTGTTGTGCCCCACCGCACGCAATTTAGCACTGCCTTGTTGGGCTCGAGATAGAGAACACTGTTGGAAGATATTCCAGAGTGCACAACCCCGATATTCGACTGCATGTTTCCCAAAATTGCACGCTGCTCTGGCGGCTGCCCCGAGTTCATGTTCGGGAAACGGTTGATTCGCTAGAAAAAGCCTTCCGGCCGTTTTGGCGGATCTCGACCAAAGTACTGGCGGCGCAGCAGCCTGTTGTGGTAGTCCCACGCCTCCGACATGGATATTCGACCATCCGCGACCCTGCACAGAGGTTGACCAAATTCGATTACTCACATGGTCTCCATCAGCACAAAATGGATAAAGGCGGAGCTCTTCAGCCAGTTGCAATACAGAAGTGTGTAGACATGCATGACATATTGGAAATACAATAAAAAACATTGAAGGCTGTATGGTATTGAAGATTAGTTACTGCATTAGAACACCATGCCAGATCTTCCTCAACAGCTGACAGTTGTGCAGCAGTGGAGGACGTACTGAAAAGAGACCATGCTCAAATACTGGATGTGTTGTCCATCCCCATTTCTCCGGTATTGGACACACGTACTGCATGTGTGCATCTCCACTACTTGTGGCAATGTACATTGGAAATGGAGGACTGTGACAAAAGGATCCAAACTCTGTATCAGTGTCCCACCAAGATCTTGTGCAAAGATCCAGGGCCAGTCCATCCTACACAAAGATTCAGGACCAGGGCAAACTGAGGACACTATCAGTAGAATTCCACGTTTCAACCTTCCATTCCATGTAAAACAAGGGACTGTGCTCCACTTTCAACAAATGACAGTCATAGCTCTATGACTATGTTGTCTTTGTTAGATGGTTTGTCCATTTCCCACAACCTTGGATGGTTTTGCTCTGATGAGAGGCACATATTCTGAGCGTCTTGCAGCCATCGTCTTGCCACAAGTTCTGCTTGGGGTCCAAAATTGCCATCCACTGTCTTTTAACTTGGCAAACGACCAACACCGCTTTTGTTAAGATGGAAGAGGACCATGCACTCTCAAGTTTGATGACAATAGTTGGAATTGAAACAAAACCATGCATTAAATCAGCAGCTTCCACAGCACAGCAGCAGTCAACTGACAAATTTTGACCATGGCTGTCTCCTCTTCGCTCACCCTAATATCCCAGGCATGTCTCCCAATGATGGTGCACACTGTGCAGGTGGATTCTGCATATGACTTATTCAATGAGATGCTCATGGACCAGGAACAGACAGGAAATCTGCTGGCCAACATGGACAGAACAAAGATCATTCTTGCGTTCCTTTCCCACGGTTAGCGATTGCTGCATCACGTTAACAGCATGGCAAACAATCTCTTCTGTTCTTCTGAACTGCTGGCGATCCAGATTTACCTCTGCACAAATCATCGTGTCTGATTTCCTGGTGAGGCGTCAAACCAGTTTTTGACACCTCGTATGTGTACCTTAGATCTACACTGCTCCATGCAGAATGTAAGGATTGTTACTTCAATTCAGTTGGTTCAGGCTTTCGTGCACAGCATAGCACGTTGCTTTCCCTGACCAAAGTGACAATCTTCTAAGACAAAACAAACCAGTTTCTGGTGCAGGTGTGGAGCATTGCTATGCCGCACCAGTCAAAGCTGACTGCAGAAGCTGAAAGGAGCAGATGAGCAAGCACAATTTAAGCTTCGGCCAGTGCAGTCCGTGGCCCCAGAGTAGCTGGGTACACAAGTATCTCACCCATCTCAATACTGATGATTTGCATAGTGACTTTAAGTTAAACTGCTCCCCATGCTCAGCATGTCTTTCAGCATTTAGCTGTTCCATTAACACTTCACCCTTCTGCAGCTTTCAACCAAAAGTGTTTGACTCCAACGTCCTTTGGAAACTGACCACACTCAACAGTGCATTCTCTGCTCATCAAGGGGCACCGCAAAACAACCTTAACATTTATTTCCCCATGCACAAGGGAAATGCATGAACAACACAACCACAACAAACAAGGCAAAATCAACTCGACACATCCCCAAAACCGTCCCACAATCCTTCAATCGGAGCATTCTTGGAACTTCTACTGAAATAAAATGGTATGGCTCCCAAGCACCTTCACATGCATCCTACTGATTCGTGCAAAGTGGGCAGGCATAGAATCCATGATTGGATGCAACAAGAACAAAAAATATTTGACTCTGTTGTGCCTGCCATCGCCTCCCCAGGCACAAAGACTCTGCTAAGTATCCTTGACCGACGCAAACAATGCAATGTACACCCCACCCCACCGCTTGCCTTTTGCGTTACTTTTGTTGTGTGCTCATTATTTCACACCAGAGACTCCACATCATCTTTTCACAGCATGGAAGCGAGTATTGCACACACTTGCTCAGAAGGGGTGCCCTTTGTATCACCTGGTTCTCTCTCTCTTTGTAACAAGTCTTACCCCAGCCCACCCCTACACCCCCACCCGCCCGCTTGCTTGCTTGCTGGTTTGATGGATCCATCACGCTTTCGGTTGCATTCTCGTCGACGGTGGCACCTAGAGCGCTGCAAAATGGAACAGGGCCCGCTGTGTCCTTGCTTAGGAGGGCTTGCTCCAATGTGTGACCTGTGTTGGGGCGATTTTCGTGTGCATCTTGACACACACCTGCTTCCCTTGCCCTCTCCATCTCCCTCCACCAGCTCCCCGTCCCTCATCACGAACACGCCAGAGACGCGGCCCCTGTCACCCGCCACGCGTGGCGTCGTCATCCTCAGGAAGCTGATCTTCGACACCATCCGCTTGAGCAGCTCCGACGACCGGATGGCATCGCGCTCGCCGGCGTGCGACCGGACGGTCTGCCGGGCCTCCCGGAGGGCCGCCTGCGACTGGCCGGCGGGCAGGCGCTTGATGAGGGTCAGCAGCTCCCGGTAGCAGCGCAGGACGTTAGCTGAGTGGTCGCCAGGCATAGAGGCCCACCGACGCGCGACTGTGCATTTACTCGCCAAGGCGTTCTGCTGGGGTATATCCTGATAAGCACACAGAGACACACCACAGACGGTGACGTGTCCTAACCCTAAACCCTAAAAAACCTAACGCGCCCCACCCCACCCCCCGCGCTATCTCGCCCAAATCCCTGTGACCGTCTCTCTGTGTGCGCGGTCTGTATGGGTAACAGTTTGTTTTTTCGGTCTCGGCAGAAAAACACGACGAACAACAAAGAATCCCTTCAAGAAATACAATGAAATACAGTTAAAAATCACATGCAATTAGACAACAGTTGAGCAGAACAAGTTCTTTTCAGTGGCTTGGTTTCGGGGTGTGGTGTTGGTATGGCAGCGACTGCTCCATCATTGACAGATGGTTGTATGACTACAAAGGGACATGCCTGTCCGCGACCTATCTGGGACTATGTCGGAGGCAGGCACGGCCACGGGCTTGGAGACACAGCTGAGGTACATAGCCCCACCCCGAACCTAGTGTATCAGTGTATTGTTGCCAGAGAGCGGTTATTGTGCTGCCCAAGTTGGTGTGCACAACCACACACCGAAACTCCGCCGAGCAATCCTGGCTGGGAGCGCAACGGGACAAAAGCGACGAAGCCGGGAAGCGCCAACCTTGGGGCGCGCCTCACCGGCCATGTCGGCCCCGACGGCGCGGCTGGCGCTGCCGAGAGTAGGACCTAGAGGGCGGGTGCGCGCCGGCGATCAGAGCTTGTGCAATTGCGGTGCCGGCCTCTGCATGTTGCGCGCGAGTCGCCACGCGAACGTGGCGCAATTGGATGCCGTCGTGGTGACCGGCTCCACTTGCGGAAATGGTACCCAACACTCGCCGCTCGCTTTTCGGCATGGCCAGTGGTCGGCGCATCCGGCGTGTTGGCTGCTGACGTTCCGACGTCGTGCCGAAGGCCAGCCAGGGCCGCAGTGGCCGATCCCTGATTGTTTTCGGCCAGGCTTTTCGGGAGTTCCGCGTGCCGCGGGCGCCGACTTCAAATGGTTGGGGACCCCGGGATGAGCGAGCAGTGCGCTATGACAGCGTGACGATTGACGCCTTCGTCATGTCGATGGCCCATGGGGTGTCTGACGGCCTCGCGAACGGGAGAAAGTTGGTTGTGGCTTTTCCGTCAATGATTGCGGTGGTAATGGTCAAGCCGGCAAAGGCGCAGATGGAGTTGTTTGACGCAATGTTTGTCAACGGTGACGCAGATGCGGATGACGCTGTCGACGAAAAGTCTATGGCCTGCTCGGAATCTGAAACGGTGCTATTTCTGTATCTTTGCTCTGGCGTTTCAACAATACCTGGGTTGGGGAGACACATGGTCAGTGCCTGCTCTCCCTCGCCTTTGAATCTTAAATTGCAGCGTGCTGCCTTGTGCGGTGCTTTCTGCAAGCGCAGTGCTCAGGAATTGTGTTGACGCATGTTTTAGAGGGTTGGGAGTTGTGAACTGTCGGCTTTTCCAGTCAGTCTTTGTCGTGTCAATGTGGCCATCATCTGTGGACTTTGCAGCCCAGGAGGTTGATTCCAAGGAAATGCATGAAAAATGTTGCATCGCGTTGTATTTTTGATGCAGATGCTGTGATGCCACATGAAATGTCCATTGAAGCAAGAAAATTAATTGAATTTTGACATTAATAGCATTGTGTATCTTGATATCAACAACAAGTGTTTTTTGGAATAATACATCAGGTGCAAATGCAATTTTCTGTTGCGTTTTTCTTTCTTTGTCAGAGTCGAAGGTGGTGTGGATGTTGGGATGCGTTGCCACTCCACATCCTCGACAATGTGAAAGACCAGCTGGAAGAGTCCAACACAGGCGACATGGTGTCGTTGCAGACGTTCAAGAATCTGCAGTTGGTCAGTCGGCACTGGGGCATTTGGTCTACATGGACCATCACAAGTCTACCATTGACTGCCGAGGAATGGTATTCAGGGAGGACACGTATCAACGTTGAATATGGCATAGATAGTCTGAATGGGAGGTTGATGGCAACCAGTTCCATTCAATATTTGATAGACCACCGAGCAGCAGCGAACACAGAACTTGCTCTGGTAGCATTCACGGCTCTCACGGCACTGAGCTTTGCAAGGCACAGCATTAAGCCTACTCAGCAAAGCTGATTTGCATGGGTGTGCCAGAGTCATGAATGAGGGTTTGCCGCACCTCGGGGCACTGACGGAGCTCACAGACATCAACTTGAGGCTATGCCGTAGAATTGGAGGCAGTGGCCTGGGGCACATCGCAACCCTCCGGTCTCTTGCCAAAATCAATCTGTTTGGCTGTGAGGGTGTGGCAGATTTCGGCTTGATGCATTTAGCGCAGATTGGGTCCCTCACAAAGCTCAGTTTGAACGCTTTCTTGGCCATAACGCAGAAGGGCGCGATGTGCCTGGCAACATTGACAGCACTCACATACCTGGACTTGACCAGGTGTCAGGACGTCGATACTGGCACTGCCGAATCCCTATCGTCGCTTGCGTCCCTCACATATTTGGACTTGGTCTGGTGTCGGGGCGTTGACACTGACGCTGTCGAGTCTCTGTCGTCGCTGGTGTCCCTTGTCGAGTTGAGCTGCTGTGGCTGTATGCAGGCCATGGACAAGAGCGTGGGGCCCATGGCAGCTTTGGCATCTTTGAATTGTGTGGATGTAAGTTTCACTCGCATGTCACATGAAGGTGTTGCACTGTTGCGATCGTTGCTGACAACTTTGGTGAAAGTAAAGATGATACAGCGCCCAAATCGAGGATCTGGTCATGGGATGGAAGGTGGTGTTGTGACATATCCAGACCCACGCGTGACTGAAGATCATTCATTGGCTTTGCAGACACCTTTGGTGGACAAGTCTCTCACGAACTTGCGGACAGAACTGGTCCAGCCTCCACCAGTATCAAGCTCATCCGATGATGGTGAGCGCCCTGCGACGATAAACTCACGGCCGCCGACTCTTGTTTGTCACTGGTTGTCCTTCTTTGGATTGGCTCACTTTCTCTTTTCTGACTGAGCATGAGTGACGCTAACGCTGCCCTGCCATACCCAACGAGTAAACAGGCCAAAAAAAAATGTGGCACGCCTGGATTATCCGCCAGAAGCATGTGTGCTGGTTGCTGACGAGGGTAGGGTTGATTATCATTGTTCTGCTGCCTTTTTCTGCGATCGGATATCTGATTCTGCACCAGGCGTGTGGACGACAAGCATGATAAACGGGACATGAGCACACCTATTGGTGTAACGGTCATAATATTTGTGCTCATGCTGGTGTGGTTGGAAAGGCTGCAGAAAACTTGTGGACCTGCGCTGTAGGCAATGGAGGTCAGACGGCCTGACCATTCGGCAGCCCTTGGCGCCACAGTCTTGCCACACCATCTAAAGTCCTCAGGCTAGTGAGCGAAGTTGGTTGCGATGGCCGCGGCAGGCAGCAAGAAGGCTATGCGCCTGGCACTGCGGAGCTGCTCACTGACGAATTCCGCTCTGCATGGCGCAGGCACTGCAGCGTGAATGCAGCAAAACTGGCAGCATTTCCCTGTGCCACAATTGTAATGTTCAAGACGTAATAAGGGCTCCGACTGGAAAGCCATCCCGACACATCACCCACGTCTGCTGGGCACGTGTACGTATACGTGCACCTATACGCACCCCGGACAACAGTTGGGCGGACAAAACAACCGTTTCGCCCGCCAGCGCTTGGCTGCCCCACAATCATGCATTCTCCGCGGGTGAAGGATCGAGCTTGCCCAATCCACTTCAGTTTGTGACAGTCCCCAACATTGTCCATCGAATTCTGCGTCACAGTTCATGTACTGCAAGCAGCGCTGTCGGTTCGTCTGCACCTGTCCATGAGATTCGTTTCACTGCTTTCCTCGATGCGTGATGGTCCCCATCCAAGTGACGCGTTTCAGTCTGTTTCGGTCCTAGTCTGTGAGGCGCCGGAAATTGCGTTCTCTATGCAAGTTATTCTGCGATACCCTTGAAAAAAAAGGGTGTCCAAACGTTTCCATCGGAAAGCACTTGGAGACATAGGCACAGAAGGACTGCACAGATTTGGTCTTGTCGCTGCACGCCCCCTCTGGGCAGCGTGCTCTTCTGCTGAGCCTCCCACACCCTCTTCGATACCAATGAAAACAGTCCCGCAAGCTTCTTGGCCAGGTACGGGGCGCCCATTGTATGACATTTTTTTCTTGCTGCAACGAACAGTAAAACAAGAGGTTCGTCAACAGTGAATCGGAACGCCCCCGCTTCCGTTCAGGCCCAACTTCTGACGCGGTGACTTTGTTGGAGCATTCTTGCCCACTTCGACTTCTGTGGCATCACCTGACGCTTTTCTCCAGCAGGAAGCTGAGAACGGTTGTCGGAGCCAATGAACAGGACAGTGGCGCAACACTAGAGGATTCAAACACCCGGCAAACTAGGGGCCGCCATTAATGGGCAACGCAACACGGGCTTCCAGGCGCCCCGCTGTTCAGCTCACATATAGCGTGCTGTCGCTGCACGCTGCCCAGAACCAGATGCACACCAGTCTCGGTCGTTGTTTCAGAGCGGCTGCAAAGACACAGACTAGGTGACACACTTGGTAATTACTTGGCAAAGCCAAGACAGCCCCGCGCACAAAAGGCAAGCACTCCCTCCCTCACCCTCCAGGCACACACGCTGCTCGAGTATTGAATGTACAGATTGACTGACAAGTGACAGTTCCCTTGACAGCCACGTGCGGTGTTGCTCAGGCAACCTAGACCGCCCCCTTCCACTTGTCCCCGTTGACTTCTTGAGGTTGGGGTTGGTTTGACGTGACGGGCATGGTGAGTTGAACTGTGGATGGGGTCGGCTTCCGAGTGTCGTCGCCGCCCATGAACCATCGGACGACTTCCATGCACACATACAGCCCTCCAAGTCCTGCGAGGGCCACTACTGCCAGGACGACCTGCACCACACACAGAACAGCTGATCGGCAGGCCAGCCGAATGCACGTTCCTGTCACAACAAGTGCAAACCCCACGAAACATTGCACGTAGTCATCCCAGAAAGAACAGCGCTCCGAACTGTACGACAACAGCACATCAAGAAACGTTAAATGCAGAGGACGGCCAGCGCCAACGCGCGCACCCATGTTGAGACACCCTCGGTCGTCAGGTCGTCGTAGGCAAAGATGCCCAGAAACACGGTGGGTATGGCCAGGACGAAGGAGCCGTAGCCGAAGAAGTAATGTGCGTAGTTAAACATCCACCTCCGCGGGGCCTCAGTGCCAGGGCGGAACAACCCCAGCACCACATTCATGAGGCTCATCGCGAACACTGTCGCCCCCAGCGGCTTGTGGCGATCACCGTCCTCAGTCTTGCAGCATTCAAACTTGTTCACAGCGATGCCAAAAGCTGCGATGGTCGCCATTATCCCCACAACCTGAAGTCCACGGTGTATCTGAAACCACAGACCTTTCGTTCCGATGCCCTTCAGACACCATTTGTGGTGCGCGCACAGGATGCCTGTGGACACGAGCAAGAACCGTCGTCAGTGGCATGGTAGATTCGTTGGAGATGCGACAGCCAGCACGCTGGGAAGTGCAAATCGAGAAAAGGACTACAGAGCGCTATTGAGGGTCCCGTCAATGAAGATGAAAAATTACCCACGTCCACAGCGATCAGAAGCGCCAATCCGAAATGTTGGGGTCCAATTCACTGCAAATGCTGAAAATGGACTTGGTCCAATGCCGCGTGTAATTTGTGCAAGATGGACAACAATGACCAACGCGTCCTTTCTCAAGTATGATGTTTCGTTCCATCAACCTTTGAACAATGTGCGCTCCTTGCTGTGGTGCATCCGACCACGTAGAATTTATTCAATCAACTCAGCCACGGACGAATTGTGGTAGGGCACTGTAATACACGGTTTCCTTGCAATGCCATGTTAGCCTTCCAGCAAATGACGGGAGCAGCAATCGTAAACGCTTCTATGAAGGATCCGCAGAACATTTGGACTTCTTGGCACCCATATACTTGGCATATACTTCTGGATGCCGCTTTCTTTCTTGCCATCTGTCTGGGCTGCAACATCCTTGCAGCAGACTTATCAAAACACCATTGCAAACAACGCTCGTGAATCTCCAGAACATGACGGCCACACAAGTAGCCTATTTGTGTTCGTTTCCCAAAATTGCACTTCTGCACACCGACTAGATGCGCAATATGATATGGGAGGCATAAGTTTGAGCCGCAATTTCATAAATATTGTATCCAACCCTGGATGTGCAGACACATCCACATAGCTGCTGGTATGCAGAGTGACAACCTATTCGGCAAAAGACAAAACACTGCTCTGTCCTGAACGAAATGCAATCGGTGCCGAGTGTTCTTGCTGAATCACTGTCATGTGAATGGCCGATGTACATTAAACTCCACATCACACCAAATAAAAGTGGGAAAGCTTCCACAAAAAATACACAATGTTAACACATAGTCCTCTTAAAACACCACTTGTTAAAGCATCCAACAAATAGGGCGTTCACCTGCTGGAATGCACAGTAGCCAGGCAATTATCATGAGAGCTCCATGTGCCTTGTAGTAACGAGTAATGTCGTTATTCACACCGACGCCAGACAGCAAAAAGGACGACCGCTCTCCGGGTCCGTGCTGCACAAGCCCATCCGATCCTCCCAGGGCTGCATTCATGAGCACGATACCACTGGAAGGATCCACCGGAACATTGCCGCTAGCCACATTCCACGTGAATGCAATGGTTGTGTTGCCATCCACTTCAGAAGCTGCCACATCAGTGATGATGATGCTAGTGTCTTCATCACCAGGGCTGATGCTTCTAGACTGCGCACAGGCACACGCACACCGGACGACTTAAGTCAAGTCGTTATCTGGGGAATGCACATGTGAGCCATGTGGCACGGCAGCAAAGCATGGTCCTTTTCCAACTCACGCTAATGAACACATCCTTGCATGCAAAATGAAGGATACACTGGCCATGGCACGTGCCTCCGCTGACCTCAAAATTTGTGAAGAATTTTAAATATAGTGTAAATTGATCAGACAGCATCGATTGAACAGCCTGGCCGCAGGACAATTTTCAGACCAATGCGAGGACCAATTCGCTTCTAAATTTGCATGCACTGTGAGGAAAGCACAAATTGATCCAGTCAAGCGCAAAGTCCATTCCGAATAGCCGTGCTGGTTCATTGTTCAAAATCTGAAGGGATGACATGAGGAAATAAGTCCATTCTGCATGCGCTGCGGCTCGTTGCTTACCATCACTCGATATGGCCTGACATCTGGCACGCCGTCTTCCACCCAGCCAACAACGCAATCGGAGGGGGCCATAGCGCCTGATTGCTCTGCAAATCCTATTCCTACCCATCCAGAGGTGGCACCCTCGACAGCAAACCGAATCTCGCTCGCGGTGAGGGTCGGAATTGCGTCGTTCCCCGTTGTGGGCCCAGAAATGTAGTGAAGTCGCATTCTGTCAAGCCCTGGCACCTGTGGAGAAAACACAAATCGTCACAATTTGGGTTGGGTGACTGCAAGCTAAGCACTCAATTCACCGCTGCATTGACAAAGTACATGCAATACTATGCGGTATGTTTTTCAGACAAGAGGTTGTGCAGCTCGCAAAAGTATGCATGCACTGCATTAGGATAATCGGGGTGGGAGTGGTGCCGATGTTTTTGTTGTTCATCAGAGTGCAAGAAGAAACAGCACCAAGATGGCTACTGTACTCTCCATCCCATTTAACAGATCTACAAAAAGCCCCACAAACTACAAATGTACTGCCCAATTGTCTGCCTGGGAGGGGGTGTGTAACGGCTGCCAGACGATGATAAATTTCTGCGGATGCGCTTTGCATGTACACAGTGTCAACGTTGATTCCCGACTCTCAAGAGCAATGATACACACAATTGCACCAGAACTGCTGCTGGAAGAAGCTAACACAGCTGCGTGTTCGTCTATCGAATGTGTCAACATAGAGAGAGAATCAGACTGTGCACAAAGCAAGAGATTCTTGGCTTCTGCATATCCGTGGCTCCTGATAAGCAAATAATTACAGTTCCCGGCTCCAGGTTTAGAAAGCAGGCCCAATATAGGACTAATATGACAAGCAATTTGTGTACTTCCAAAACGTTCCAATGCCTACTGAAAGCATTCAGTGCCAAGTATAAGGTTCAACATAGCTATGGCCTCCACCCAGCAAGCCCTGCATTCATTGACCTTTTGTTACATTTCACACTACCTTGAAATTACAAAATGGTATCCATGAAAGTGACAGAACAGGGCAGACCAAAATCCACATGTTTCTGATGCAACATCTATGACATATGTCCCTTCTCTGGGCTGTCACATCCAACTACCTTTACTATACTTTCCTTTTTCACACAAGCAAAACTGCATAGAAGTGCTGGCAGGCACTGTTTGTGCTCCCAAGTATCGCACCAGGTCCAAATCGTGGTTTCCCCTTGTGGACGACTCCCATGGAAGGCACAACAACAGAGCTCCAACACCAAAACAAATGCGCCCAGAGGCTTCTAAAATAACGAGCACTTTCATATCGAAGAAGGGGAGTGAACTGGCCACATGCACCAAAGGGCAGAACATCACCCCTAAAGACCAAATCGAACAGGGCAAGGAAGATGTCCTGGTTCGCATTGCCTTGGAAAACTTTTGGTCATGGTGAACAGAGACGCATAATAGAGATAGATATAAAAGTTGCGTACAGCACAGTGTGCTCATGGAATGAAACCAGTATGTACAATATAGAAAGAATTGTATACTATACACTATTCTTTCATATTGCATAACAATCAGCAACTCAGCTGTGCACTTGGCATCCATCACCAGCATACCGAGATGACACAACTGTAGCCTGGAAGCTCAGAACTCGGACAGGAGCTGGAGGCAGCTGACATGGCATCGTCATCGCCATCTACTTGCGCATTGCCACCTGTACCAGCACCTGTGCCAGCAGTAGTGTCCTCATCTGCAGGAGAGGATGGCTCGTCACCATCTGCAGCAGGCAGACTCTCGCCACCATCACTGCCAGAAAGGAAGTCGACTGAGAATCCTATCCGATCCGTGAACTCATGGCGCACCAGCGCATCCGACCCTCCAAAGGCTGCATTCAGGGCAATGGCGCCACTTGAGAGGTCCACTGGGATGTTGCCAGCAGACACAGTCCACGTGAAAGAAATGGTGGTGATGCCATCAATTTCGGAGCCCGCCACATCACCGATCTCGATGCTTGTGTCCTCATCGGCTGGGCTGATGGTCCTGGCCTGTGGATCACCAGAGATGGTCCTTTCAACAAGCGCAAACATGGTGCAAACAGGGCAACCCTTACTGAGAAAAAGTTTTGTTAGAATCTCATCATTGGTATGTTGTCACAGCACCCTCAGATCACAAATGTGCTAAATGTGCTCCACATACTTGAGCTACTGAGGTTTCACATGAGCATTTAAGACAGTAATTGCATGTGTGGGCAGACCTACCCAACATCACCTTGGATGTGAAAGAGAGTTGATTCACCAGTTTGAATCACCATTTCTGATCAAAAGGATTACATAACCCAGCACTGCCATGCATGTGCCTGGCCCCAATTCTCACAAGCTGATAATCCTACCAGCCAGTGTGCCAATAGGCTGCCTTCACAGTAGTGCATTTCCAGCCTGACACCCAACACATTGTGTCCCATGAGAACCCAGTATTAGATTCCATTTCATATTGGTATCCATCCCCCTTGCTGGGGTTCCAAACAACACTGGCATGCACAAACATGCATTAGTACACTCCCAAACTGCTGTTGTGGGCTCAGTGGATATGTCTGGATGAGAGGAAGCCAGTTATACCACTCTGGCTGCCCACTCCTTTGTGCACAAGTGCGCCTTTAAAACTCAATAAGCACACTAAAGTACTGGCCCTGTAGCGCAGCCAAGAGGCATGCACTGCACTTCTTCCCTACTCCAATAGATGAGGACGGTACTTGTTTGGTA